TATATTAATATTATTATTATTATTATTATTATTATTATTATTATTATTATTATTATTATTATTATTATTTATTGTTAGTATATTAATAGTATTTTGCAGCAAAAAACTTTGCACCTAATATTATATTATAAATTATTATTATAAAACACAATATATTACATTTACTATACTTTGATGATTATTATATTTGCACCCTGACTCCTGCCTCTAACCCTCTCCTGGCACAGAGGCATTAAAGTCTCTGAGATTTGCATTTTTCAGATACGCCGCTGCGTCCTGTGTTTGCATGTTCCGTGGTGCATGTTTTCTCATCTCTTCCACGTCTGTTGTCCTTCATGCCCAAACAAAGAGCTGAGACTCGGTCCCATCCCCCCACGAGCCTCCCGTGCTCCTCCAGATTTCCTCACATCTCTCCCTCCTGCTTTCCTTCTCTCTCTCTCCTCCTTTGTCTTCCACTCTTTTCTTTCACTGCTATCTAATTCCTCTCCTGCCATCTTACATTTGTCTCTCCCGCTCGCTTCATTTCTCCCCCCGTCTCGTTGTTTTCTCCTTCGCCCCTCCTCCATCTCTGGCTCTCGTTCTCTCAGCTGGCTCTTGCAGGTATTCTCAGTATGTCATTGTGGAGCACTCTGGGAGTGATTAAACCATCATACACAATCCGTATGGCACGGCGCTCGCGTCAGGCTCCATACATCACTGCCTAATGCAGCCAATGGGATGAATTAGAGGCAAAATGAACCTCATGGGTTGCGGCTGCTCGTCGGTGACGTTCTGAAACTTTGTCCTGTGAGGGACGTACGCGTATCGATCCGGAGCTTTATGCTCAACTTCTTTGCACCTTTGGCTTGAAAGAGGCCTGTATTTCTGGATGGATGTCATCTAACTTATTTTTATTATATTTTTTAAATCTGGGATTGTGAGCATTTGGTGTATTTATAGACTATAAACTCCACTCGCTGCCATCATTTTTGATCAACCAACATATCAGCTGGGCTGTTCATCATCAGATTACTGCAATAAACAAAAGTGCTTTGATCTCTCAATTGCATTTCTCAAGATTGACCGCAGCCATTTGTGTAGATATTGTGCTATTATAGACTGATTTTTGGCCAGTTTTTTTAGATTATCAGCCAATAATAATGCCAGCTTGCCCAATTAGAAGTGGTTTTCTCCTGTCAGTTCCCAAATCTACTGAAACGTTGGTCAACAGATGAGAAAGTTTTTATAATTACAATTTAAATTATATATATTGTAGTTAATAATGTAATCCAAGTAATCCTTTACATTACACATTTCAGGTAATAAAATCAGACTACTTTTAGATTACTTTTTACCTAAATTGTTTATCACATTGATTTAAATAGGGTAATCTTGTACCCCCTAGTAAATAATAAATATACTTAAATGTATTTTCTGTTCTATCTGTTTTTATTTACTATATAATTTACTAAAAACCTTGCTACGTGTACTGCGTTAGGCTAACTGAGACTTGTTATATAGATCATACAATCCTCCTCAATAGTGACAATAAAACACATTTTAGGGCTTAATATTAAGAAATGTGCATTGTGCTCAAGTAGTACTCCAAATAAAGTTTAATTATAATTTTTATATCCGTGTAAGTCTCTCGAGTGATATGCCAGTAAATATGTTAATAGATTTTAACTATACTTCATATGAAATAAATATATTTGTATATATATTACTTTTTTACTAGGGCCATATTGATATAAAAACACAAAGAGAAAGAATATATATTCCATTCGTTGTTATCAACAACATGAAGTGCATTAAACATTACATCAAAGTTTCCCAAAATAGACTTTGTGAAGAAACTGCAGGGGGGTTCGTGAGTTTAATGTAAAGCTAATAATGAATTAAATCATAAAATTAAAATAAATATATTTTTTTCAATTACAACAATCAAAATAAAACACTTAATAAAAATATCTATTATTTTGATTTAGCGGCATGTCAAGTGACCATGTAAATATGTAATCGTGTAATCAATAAAAAAAGTAACTGTAGTCTGATTACGAGTATTTTAATGTAATATAATCTAGTTATGTGTTCCAGATTACATTTAATCACACACAAGATGGATGGATGGATGGATGGATGGATGGATAGATGGATAGATAGATGGATAGATAGGTTTCATGTATAATGTTGTCATCATTAAATTGCATCGTAAATTTGTCCGTCCAAAATTTGCTCATCCAAATTCTGTATCTTTATTTTCAATGTGCATAGAGCAGAAAGTTACATCACAACAATATAAATCCAAAAATCATATCTGGTTATTCATCCAATCAAAAGAATTGCATTCAATTCCTTGTCAACTTCAGTAAGACTGAGCAAAAATACATGAAGCTGATTCTGAGAAATTGCTGTCATTAGTGACTCAGGATTATATGATTAACATCAAATTTAAAGCAGAGCATAAAGGAAGTGATTTGACGAGCTCTCTGAGGTCGTTTGTCTGCGTTAACGGCGTTCAGTCGAGCAGTCAGCTGACCTATTTATCTGTTTGTCTGTCAGACGTAATGAAGCTCTCTGTCTGTTTGTACCATATGAACCTCCCAGGCCAATTCGGAGGCCGTTTGGGGAGGCCTACATCATCTATTTCTTGAGAAACCGCCAAGCATCCCTCCATATTGCTTTGTGTTTACCAGGTGCCTTGTGGATGTGTATCGTGCTGAACCCCCACTGTAAGCCGGAACAGAAGGCCGCTTGGCTCAGGCAGCTCAAGAAGTGGAACAGTGTGGACGTGTGTCCCTTGGAGGACGGTAACCATGGCAACGAGCTGCCCAATTTAACCAATTCCTTGCCTCAGGGTGCACACGGCAACCAAGGTAAGCGTGTGTGTGTGTGTGTGTGTGTGTGTGTGTGTGTGTGCGCGTGTCATTGTATGTAGGTGTGTGGGAGGAAGCACAGGGTGCACACGGCAACCAAGGTAAGCGTGTGTGTGTGTGTGTGTGTGTGTGTGTGTGTGTGTGCGTGTGTGCGCGTGTCATGGGGGGGGGGGCAGAAACGGGGTGTTTTAATCAACCGTGCCTCCGTGCACCCCTTTTATTAGACTTTGTGTGACTAATGGAATGCCCCTAATAACAGCGGTTCAGTACTTCCTCCCTGGCTTTTGTCCTTGCTGTGCTAATCATAACTCTGGGCGAAAGCAAGGGCTGGGGCGGGGGGGAATAGCTCCATTGAAACTTTACGATTAGTCAGGTCTTTTATACCAAGGCGACAGCGTCTGCAGAGGTTTTATGATGTGTTTTGTTATAAATATTCATGCTCCAGACAGGTAATTGCAAAGAAATGACTTCCCCTTTTCCTAAGGCATGGGTATTTTGGGCATGAATGGGCTCTAGACTGGTTGGCACAGAGGTTGTGTAGATTTAATCAGAGTTTTTTTGTCTGGGATGCACTAAGACTGGGCGATATAGCAAATATTTATGATATATTGTATGTTTTTGTTGACAATAAAACAATGTACTTCATTTGCTGTTTAAGTGTTATTAGACTGTTCAAAAGTTTGAGGTCAGTAATATTTATTGTTGAAAGAATTTAATTTGTTTATTCAGCAAGTATGCATTAAATTGATCAAAAGTGACAGTAAAGGCATTTATGATGTTTCTATTCCAAATAAATGCTGTTATTTTGAACTTTCTGTTCATCACAGAATACTGAAAAGAGTATCACAATTTCCAAAAAAATATGAATCAGCACAACAGTTTTCCGCATTGATAACAATAAGAAATGTTTCTTGAGCATATTAGAATGATTTCTGAAGGATCATGTGACACTGAAGACTGGAGTAATGATGCTGAAAATTAAGCTTTGCATCAGAGAAATAAATTACATTTTACAATATATTCAAATAGAAAGCAGTTATTTTAAATTGTACAAATATTACAGTTTTTACTGTATTTTTTTATCAAATAAATGCTGCCTTGGTGAGCAGAAGAGACTGACTTCTGCATATAAGACCACAAACATTTGAACTGACTGTCTGATTCAATGATTCATTTGTGTTATCACTCAAAAATGTTTACAGAAGTCCCTGCATCATATAGTTTACTTAGTTTTTGCATATTAAATATTATCAAAAGGCTTGATATAATAATTTATTATAGCTAGATCACCCAGCCCATGTAATGCCATCTTGCAGCGGTCATGTCGGTATCTGCACCACCTGTGAATGACAGTTCAGCTCGCTGCACTAATCTACGGACTTATTACCGAAGGTTTTACCGTTTGCCCCTGACTGACAGGCCCCCAGGGCCCTCGCTCTCAGAGCTAGCATTGAGAATGACAGAGCAATTTCCTTTCCCTTTTCCCTGTCTCTCCTCCTCCTCCTCCTCTTCTTCTTCGTCCTCAGATTCTGGCACCCGGCCCCACCGGACGGTTTTTACGCGAGCCATCGAGGCATGCGATCTCCACTGGCAAGACAGCCACTTACAGCACATTATCAACGACGACCTCTACACCAACTACTGTTACCATGACAACACTGAAAATTCGCTCTTTGACTCTCGCAGCTGGCCCCTGTGGCACGGTGAGCGGTTCGGCCGGAAAAAGATGTTTGCTTGACTCGCCTCTTTGTGTTACGCAGTCTATAGCATTAAGAAAAAAAGCAGAGCGAGTTTAAGCAAAAAAAAGCAATGAATGGAGGCTTTATAGGGAGCGAGAACAAGAGTTTCTAACAAAATGAAAGGCATTTTTATTTTCTGTCCCGCTAGCCTTTTGCGTGCGGGTGAATATGTTTCTGTTGTGCCCATCTGAGATTTGTTAAAGGATTTTTTGGGGGGTTTCTATCACAGAACACGTCCCTACGGCCTGCGCCAGGGTAGATGCACTGAGATCTCACGGTTACCCACGGGAAGCACTGCGATTGGCCATCGCCATCGTCAACACCCTGCGTCGGCAGCAGCAGAAACAGCTGGAGCTCTTCCGAAACCACAAGAAAGGTGAGTTAAAAGCTGTATTGCTGGTCGAATTGGTTTCTTGCCGCTAAAAAGAACATTTGGTAGGGGAAAGCGTTTGTTTATAAGTTGCACCAATGCATAATCAATTCTTACATTAGTGCAATGGCAGCACGCTTTTCCATGCACCGTTTATTATTTTCGTTATATATGGGAGGAGACAAATCTTATAGAATGATGTAATGCCTCAGATGAACTTGTTAACATTCAACTACAACCATGGCTACATTTCCAAAAAACTTTGTAAGCCTAAGTAGATCATAGAAGCATTGGCACCAATGGTCTCTATGATCAACTTAGCTCATAATGCTTTTGGGAAAAGCTTTTCTGAGTTATTAATGGTATTTGATGCTTATTTGCATAGTATTTCAAAGATTTTAAAGGGCACCTATTATGCCCCTTTTTACAAGATGTAATATAAACCTCAGGTGTCCCCAGAATGTGTCTGTGAAGTTTCAGCTCCAAATACCCCACAGATCTGACTCAAAAATGCCTATTTTGAGTGGAAGCAGAAACACGCTGTTTTTGTTCATGTCTCTTTAAATGCAAATGAGCTGCTGTACCTCAGATACTCTGCCAAAAAACATCTGTTTGATTTTGATTATCATGTCTATCGCACTGAAATCATGCATTTTAAAGCCATATCAGTTTAAACTTCGGATACATGGTTTTCTGAGCGCGCACATCCAAAGCACGTGCACAGAAAGCTGCTGTTACATGGCATGTGAGTACTATGTATTATTTAGGGATGTAACGGTATGAAAATTTCTTATCATTATTATAGTGACCAAAATGATCATGGTTATCAGTATTATCACGGTATTGTTAAAATGTGCTGGAGATGTTTAAAAAGTACCAACACATAAATCACTTCACCAAGTTTTATATTTAAAAATTAACAAGCAACAAATAAAATGACTTTTTGTTTGCATAATCACTAAAACAATAACATTACCAATGATGTTCGGATTTTAAATGACAACTTGACTGAAAACAGTTTAATAGCATGTTGAAATATCTAATGTAAATGTTCAAATAAAGCTTTGAAAAAGTTTCATAAAAAGGTAAACCTCACATTTCAGTCTTTAAATAAAGAAAAGATATAAGTCAAAATGATAATTGATTAATAAATGGTTATAGGCATTTTATCTGCTCCAAAGATAATTCTATATATCCGAATTGTTTAAATGTGTAGAATCCACATAAGCTTGTTCTTCATCAACCGGCCAAAATTTACAGCAGGGCATGCAAATTCGGTCCGTTTTTGGCCAGACAGAAACTGCACACAGACTGAATGTAAATATAAGTCTC